GGATTACATATACCGCAAACATCAGTGTGTATTTACCCATGTTTATGTATGTATATATAAATAAAATTCATTCTCATCTAGCGGGATACTACGGGAAACCGTTAAATGTGTGCCGGTTTTCGGAGGCCTTACGTAATCCACGTGATTTTAACGGAATCACTTTCGTTTGTCTAACGGGGCCCTTAAACATTTTATTGGTCAATCTCCCTTTTTCTATCTTTTCCTTTCTTCAGTTTTCCTTCTGATGTTTTTCTCTCGGGATTCTTCAAGGCTGTTCCCTTTTTTCGCCATTTACTGCCGCTCTTCAAGACTTTTCGCCAATTCTATTTTTTCTGATTGCAGTTCCCGGAAGATTTTCACTGAAAAGAGTTTCTGCAGTGAGAATTCAGAAAAATTCGGGAATTCTAAGGGTTTTTTATTTTTACGGAGGACTTGGAATTTAAGCGATGAAAGTTATTTCTATAATTTTATATTGACAATTTCATTTGCACCAAGAATATTCATTTTCACTCGTAATATCTTACGGTACCGATTAAATAATTTCACTTTACTTCATTATTTCCATTTATTACCCACATGAATATCTGAATTTCTTGCATAAATCAAACAATTGTTACATAAACAAATGTTAAATATTCTCCACATTAACACGTTATAAGTTATAAATTTTAATCAAACATCGGAGTAAAAATGACGATTTTCGTTTAATTTTACTGCAATTATTTAAGTCATGCGATTGAAAACTTTAGGACTCTTAAATATATATCGATAACTTTTGTTGAATCGTGGAATGATTTTTGATGATTGCATGATCGATTTGTTTTTCCTTTTCGAAGGGCCTTTTAGGATTAAGCAAGACTCACTCTAGGTGAGCACTTGGCACAGACTTAGTTGGGAAGGCGAAGACCTAGTTCGAAGGTAGAATGCGACTGGCGAACGGCACTAGGTCACGCATCGTGCAGATCCTGGATGAATGTGTTGGTTTGTTTCATGATGCGCCAGAATTTTTATCAATGTCCTGCCACCTGCTTCTTCAATCCATTGATAAATCAAAAATTCGTGGACCAAGTACTCAGAATTGATTTGTCCCCTGGGTGAGAGCACAATTACTTCAATTGCACTGTCATTTTTTTTTATACACCGGTAATTATTACCGTAGCACCTGATGTACGACTGATGTCAGGGAATCTGGGCCATTGCATAGTGTGCACCAGTCGGAAGAGAATCGTTTTTACTTTGAGAGAGGCGACGTGCACTTGGGCTTGTTCCGGGAGAAAATAATCATAGGTGCATCCGCAAGACGCATCCGAGTATGAGCCAGTTGGGGCCGATGTACTCCGATGTGAGAAAAATTATTTTCTAAACGGGGAGGAAGAAACTGAAGATCGATTCAGTAGCTTGGCAAGTGAGATCAGCGGAATGTATCGTTGTTATCTCGGGAGGGACGAGAAATACGGAAAAATCGAAAAGAACTTTTTTTTTAGCTCATCAAATTCTCCACAAAAAAGGTATCTTAACATTTCCTCCTGAAATCGATATTTATTCAGATTAAACGATATTTAGAAAACCTGAACATTCACCGTTTGCTACTGCTCCTCAAGGAGTGCATGATATTTTCTCGTTATGATACTGTCTCTATCTCGGGAGAGACAAGACGGACAGAAAATCTGAAGAGAACTTTTTTGTAACTTATTAAATTTTCCACAAAAAAGATATCTTACGATTTTTTTCTAAAATCGATATTTATTAAGAAAAATAGAAATTTAGTAAAACTGAAACATCATTTTTTGCTACTGGTCCTGGAGAAGTACATGATATTGAATCAGATCGTTAATGATCAATCAAATGGTTGAAAATATTTATTAAATTCTGTAAATTCTGCAGCTAATCCCCAGCGCTCCCAAAAATCTCCCATTGCAGACCAGGAGCTAAAATCCTAGAAAATGGAATAGAGATTGAAAGATCATTGACCTGAGAAGTAAGAATAACAAAACCGTGTACTGTGATACTTTCATTAGCCACTTTTTCCACAAAAGTTCATTAACAATCAGCAAACGCCAAAACTCAACCGATAAATGGATCACTGGAGTCGAAACTTCAATCGAATTGAACTCATTCCTGTGAATTTTTTTATAGACAATGTCTATAGTTGAGTAACAAGTTCATCGGACCACGAGTACAACTTTCTCATTGACGATAAAAACTATTGCAATTATGGTTATGGGTTAAGGCTGCATTGTCATTGAACCACATTCTCACACAAGTGCTACCAGGAATAACTGTCAGCACCGGTTGTTTATTTATTTATTATCATCTATCGTATAAGTAATCGGTACCTTTTATAATCCCGTTTTATTCAGTCATGAAAACGAAAACTCGAGATTCTTAGAGTCTACCTGCGTCACCCCCACATCCAAGAAGAAAAACAGGTTGAGGTGAATGCCCCTGTCAGACCTAGACCCAAAAAATTTTTCTTTCCATTGGGTGTGCAGCAGTGGCACTGGGTTAACGTACATTCATGTGCTGCGTTGCTGCAGTCCTCCAGTCCTGCAGTCCTGCAACTATTGCATCGAGATGCATATGACAGTGACTTTATGGGCCCTAAGGCCTCACTCTCGTCTTCGTCGTTGGGTGGAAACCAGAGGTGAATCACTATTTCCCTGAATTCATTATTGAACTTACAAAAAGCACTTTCTTTCGTTTTGTGTAGTCAACCGATCGTAACCGTTCGATCCTCGGAATTTTGCAGGGTCGATGAACCATTTGGGACCTCTCTATTCCTCTTATCATCATCATCATCGTCAACAGCAAATTCGAGTGAGCAACCTTGAGGTGTTTTTTTCTTTATTAAAAATTCTCTACCTCCGTTAGCAGCAATTCAGGGGATTATATCATTCATCCATCATGTCATCGTACTTTTTTCGTCATAAGTTCAGGGGTCGAATTGTCATTGTTCTTTAGATGACAGTCACGTAATATATGTCACAGTAAATCTCGAAATTAGGAAGCCATTGCAGAATTTTCATTGGCATTTTTATTGCTGTTTAGAGGGATTGATAGTTACTGGGAATCAGTGAGACAAAATGTGTCATTAAATAATGATTTATTTAGGAAGTACAAGGGAATATCGAAATGCTTTTATTTCAAATTGTATAATAGCAATTAAAATTGCCGAATGTCCCCGACATCGCGGAATAATTATTATTAATTATTATCACATTCAATGTCAAATTTATGCGTTCGATAAAAATTTTTTTTATTTTTCGACGTAACACATTTCGTACAAATAAAAATTCAATTATGTAGTACAAACCATTTCTTTGCGTTATTTACGTTCTATTTATTTTTCAAGATTTCCATTGAATTCCTATCAAATATTAATTTATCTATTTAGATTTGTTTAAACAGGAAAAAATTAAGAATTGAGAATTAGACGATTTTCAATGCCTATCCATTTACAGTTATATAAATAATTATTGACAATTTCAATGACAATAATTAGACATAAATTAGTCATCTACTAAAAAAGTGATGTGGTGATTTTTTGAAGGTCTTCTAGGGGTAATAGAACCGATTGATTGACAAATCCAATTAATTCCTCGGATAGTTTCACCAAGTGGTGGGTTGCTGAAGGTTTCGCAATGATCGGTGCCATCGACCCCGCCCGTGGATACGTCCTCGGGCCATGTCTCGGCATCACGGGGAATTTAAAAAGAGTTGGGTGTCGAGGTGGAGAACAAGTGGTAAAGGAAAAAAAAATGAAAAAAATGATAAAAATGAAAAAAAATAAAAAACTAAAGAGAGGAAGCATGTGTTGCGACATTATCGATGAAGAGAGAATTAGGCATGAGGTTTTGAATGGGAGAGCCGATGTGGTTGGAGATGTATAAGAAGTGAACGCTCGTTCTCGGGATGGAAGTCCATCCTTGATGGAGGTTACTCCAGGGCATTGTTCCACATCTCTCCTCGGCTGCAATTCTCCTCCGTCGGTCATGTCTCTCTTCGGGTTTTTCACTCCTCATGTACTTATTTTCGCCTCAACTGGGGGGTTACAAATTTCATTTCACCTCCCCCTCGTCTTCATGGGTGTTCTCTCTTTCTGGTGGGTGCTGGTGTATTTTCCTTGACTCGGCAACCAGTGCCCGTTCACCACCAAGTGCTCGTTCACGGTCGCGACTCGCTGAAAGTCAACGAACAGCGTACACTCGACCCGGATTACACTTGGTTGTACAAGATTCGCACTTTTCATCCTTCAAAGTCTCTCTCTCCTTTTTCTTTCACTCACACGCCTTCTCAGGGTCAAGGCACTAAGCGCCGTATATTTTATCTTCCGCATTGCCATTACGTAGTTATTCCTCGCTCTTTAGCACTTTGAATTTTTATTTAATCCGGTGTAATATATTTTTTATGACTTTCGATCTACTTGGAATTGTGAGAACCGGGCCTTCTTTTCTCCTTTCTTTCCCTTTTCCCCATTTTCACCAATTTTTACTTCCCAATTCAATCTTTGAAATTTTCTAGTATTGAAAAAATCTGAAAGTGTAATCTGTAATTCTGAAATTTTATCATGTTTTCTTGAATATGTAAGTGTCGATCAGTCCTAGCCGTCGATATTAATTAAAATTCGATTCATCTATCAATTTTTTGTATTTTTGAGTTTTTCAAAAATCCGATTTTTTCAAATTCTTCAGTGATTGTTTAAAAAATTTGTTTCCATGCTATATTGTTCAAACTCAAAAATGATTGCCATGACTCTATATGGAAATATAATTTTCTAGATAATTTTTCCTAATTTCCAATTTGAAAAATGGCCAACGACTGCCTTTTCTATTTTTTTTCATTTTTTTTTGGTTGAAGTAAAAAATTGTAAAACGGCTATCGAAAATACAAGTGAATTTTCGGGTGAGAGGACATTCACCTCAATTTGTCTGGAATATATTTGAGCAATTGTACGAGAATTCGAGGATTGCCCAGTCGGGTAGAAAAATTAACATCTGGAGTCCCGTTTTTTTGCATGATTTATTTGTTAAATTGTACATGTACCTTTTACCCCGTTTAATCTCCATTTTTCTTTCAATGCAATAAACCGGAAATCAATACACTTGACCGTGGAAGACATTCGAGCTTCAAGCTCAAGACATTTTTATACAGAATTTCAGGCATAAGGCAGGTTTCTTTGAATGGACTATTTTCTATTCAGGTAATGGGCTTGTAGTTTACTCGATGAATTTTCTATATCTGCTTTGCTCTGGATCAGAAGCAGCTCCTTGGTTTTCGCCTTCTGCGCAGGTTCTTTCGAGGCCTCTGGAATGCAAAATAAAATGGATATCTGTAGGATTTTTTTATGACGTTATTTTTATTCACTGATCACTGATGTTAGTTAAATTTTCTTACTCGAGCGATATTCATGGGTCCTCAAGAGCACCGAATGCAACGAATTCACTGTTTTTTCCAGTGCGATTTTCAAGTCCTGCTGGAGATGGGAATGAGCGAGGAACAGAGCTGCGAAGAGATCTCCAGACCCAGTGTAATTCGTCGGTATCTTTGGTATATCCATTGTAATGATCGTACCATCTACTCCAAATGACGAAATATCATTTAGTTTTAATTTCAATTCATCGAGACATGATTTTACCTTTCGCATTGCTCATAACACTCAGCAACCTATCGTTCAATTCAATTGAAGTGACTGCAACAATTTTAGGACCTATTTGATGCAATTTCTTTATAGCTCTCTCCACGTCATCGAATGTCCCAATTTTCACGTCAGTCAACAACCTGAATAAACGAACAGACTATGAAATATTGTTTCTACCAAACAATCGAGATACGACAACAAATAATTACTCGAATTCGAACTGATTTGGTGTCACAATATCGGCCAGTGGAACAATCTCTGTCTTATATATCTCAATTAATTCATCAGGTACATATGTTTTTCCATTATCGCCCAGAACAGGATCACAGACTGATGAAATAATTAAGTTCAATCAATCGATTAAATCCTTTTTGCAAAGATAATTTAACCAAGTTACTTTACCATAAACGAGCTTTGGATTTTTCTTCCTCAGAATGGGCACCAGTTGTCCAATTTTTCTGAGAAAAGACGCAGATCCCACATATCCAGTGAGTAAATGACTGTAATGATCTAAATCATTCGCAGCTAGCCCCTCGGTCAATTGCCCTGATCATCCACATAAACCAATCATTACCAATGGAAATAATGAGACAATGAATAATTACTCACCTAGATGCTCGTCAGTCAGGATTTCCCCTTTGACGACTTTATACCCCGTATGATTGGAGAATTGCACTGAGTTTATTGCATCCACTTCAAATCCAAGTAGCTAAAATTATAAACAATATTATTTTTCCACAATTAAAACCACCCACGGATCAATTATTCAATCAATCGACAATACTGCATTATTCAGTGGAAATTAACGACTCAATTAATAAATCCACGTCGATCATCTAGTTAATAATAATTTATTAAAAACTATTTCTTATTATAATACCAGAGGCAATTCTTAAAAGTCGATTATTGACTATTTTGGAAAAGCCTTGAGTCATCGTGCGCCATTCTGGCAGAACAAAATTTTGTTGACCCTTCGATTATTCATTATTCATACAATTTGTTTATTAATTAAACTGCAGTGTTAACTGTCAGGTGGTGAATATATCTGGTAATTCCAGGACTTACATACCTGCAGTGGGAATGTTGCACATTTATTACCACAGTATCCATAGACGACATGACTTTGTATCGACAAAACGTGATCACCCATGGCTACTTCTCAAGAATACTAATTATCCTTTCCTTTTAGTAATGAAAAACAATATTAGATGTGGTTATTCACGGAAGATATCTGAATTGTGATAATATCCCCTGACTTAGTATCGAGCGCTCGAATGTGACTAGTCACATGACTGAACTCAGCATCAATTCTTAGTTTATCATTTGGAGGTAATTTTATTATGATTTACCAAGAATTCAGATTTTCCTGCACATATACGCCTGATTAATCCTCAGGTACACCAGTAATTGTGATAAAAGCCAATTTATTAGTAGTGGAATTGCCAGGATATGAATTGTATTGCCATTTGGATTTCGTAATCAGTGGAATTTTTTTCTTTATTTTCTCTTAGATAAACCCAGAGGAGCCAGACAACAAGTGGATAACATTATCATTATTCTTTTTGGTGTTTGGAGTGAGTAAAAAGACAAATACGTGAGCTCTCGATGTAGTTGTACGTTTGTCATCGGGACTAGGTCGTACATAACCTATACATATGTGAATGGATTTTTGTGTGAAACTCAGTGAAGTGCTATATTATATGTTGCGAAGAATTTTCGTAACTGTGGAACGTCTACTAATACGGATGTATGTATGAAGTTGTTTTTCGACAAGGGGCACTACTACTAACCACCTTGGACTTGGTGAAAAAGTATGGCGACGTGGGAGAGTGAGAAATTTGATCGAGAGGATGGCGATCATACCGAGGGTATCAGTGATAATTTTGAGGGGATCCTGGTGACTCATGATCTCCAGGACTGTCTCGATGACAGTCTGGATTTGACGAATTTTGGCAAGATATACGAACAATCAGTGGGATATGACTGCAAGTACTCTGATACCGAGGATACATCATTCGTTTCGAGGATACCTGATGACCCCACTGGGTGAGAATTCCTCCAATACTGTCTCCTCCAGGAGTTAATGAATTAATCATTTCAATAATTCCTCTGTTAAATTCTCCTTCACGCTAGATCAATTCTTCACATTAATCGTGTTATTTTGATAAATCATTTGATCTGAGCATTCCTATTCCTGGTTAACCATTCCTAATACGGCCATTCATCACTGAATATCACTCTAGGTATTGGAGATTAATATAGAATTTTTGTATTCCGAAGAACCTGGGAATTTGATGTATAAGAATATCCAACCGTTTCAGTAATTCATGGCCTTCTGCTAAAAATAAATATTATGTTTTCACTACCAAAAATTGTGATTTCCCAATAATATCAAACGTTGACATTTCATGTTGCACTTCGCGTGGGATTATTAATGATGGACTGGTATTAATTGTTACTGTTAGGTACATTCACCACACGATCAGTCCAGATGAAATTTACATGCGAATTCATCCGGGCCAAGATGATTCAATGCCCGATGTGCCTTCCCATGCTACGATTACCATTGAAAGCACCGATCCTGACACCAATCAAAAACACATCAGCAGATACGAGTGCGAGTATGACGGTTGCTCTCGTACTTACAGTACTGTTGGAAATCTCAGGACCCACATGAAAACCCACAAAGGTGAATATCCCTTCCCTACCATCTCCACAATTTTCAAAGTGCATTTAAAAAATCTTAAATCATGCTTTACTGCCCCATCTAATACACTAATCAGAACGTAATTGTCACCGAGCAAATGGATGATAAAATATCACTGGTAAGTAAACGCTGTCAGTTGTCGCATGAAGGGCTTAAAGTCAATGCACGATACATCAAATTCTCAACATTAAGCTTTACTTTTTATTAATTAAATTACAGAATGGGATAATTCCAAGAGAAATGAAAAAAACTATAAAAGCTTTGTGATGTTCGGCTGTTGTCTGTTCAGTTGATTAAAAGCGCAAACTTTGAACGTCCTAATGTGGATATGAGTCGCTTGGATCTGCATGGCTTTCGGTCAGTGCTCAAAAACATCGTGCATGTATCATTGCTCAATGTCGATTAATATATTATCTAATGGGATGAAATATTGTCTCTCTTATATTTTCAGGGGAGTATCGATTCAAGTGCACTGAGCCAAATTGTGGAAAGGCTTTTCTCACGTCGTACAGTTTGAAAATTCATGTGAGGGTGCACACCAAAGTAAAACCCTTCGAATGTACTTACGATGGCTGCGAGAAGGCATTCAATACTCTATACAGACTGAGGGCACACCAAAGACTACACAGTGGGAATACCTTCAAATGTGAAGAGGCTGGATGTATTAAATTCTTCACAACTCATAGCGATCTCAAAAAACACATTCGTACCCACACGCAAGAACGCCCTTACAAGTGCGTTATTTTCTTAAACATATTATTCAACTAAATTCCATTAAAAATACATTAAATACTCATTTATCTCCAAAGCTATCGATTTTATTTAGAAACATTAAAAGATTTTCTCTGGGGAATTTAGTCAGCCGCTCCCACATTACCCCAGTATTCAGAAATCGATAGTTTTTGGTATAAATGCATTATTAAGTTATTCTGATTTTGTTAAATAGGTGCAAGGAAAAGGGCTGTGGGAAGGCTTTCACTGCTTCTCACCATTTGAAAACCCACAAACGAACACACACGGGGGAACGTCCCTACACCTGTCCGCAGATTAATTGTCAAAGATCCTTTACGACGCCACATAGTCTGAAGAGCCATTTAAAGACGCACAGAAAATCGACGAATAGTGGACAAATTCAAACTCAGGAGACTCAGATTTCACCACAGGATCCTGTCAATGAAGATTCATTATCGTCGTACACTGTTGTATCTATCGACACAACTAAACAGAGAGATAACACAAACATGGGATATTTATCATCGATTAAGCCCGAGGGGGCAGCTATAATAACACTGAATGATCTCACCTTCAATTTATCCTCGACTGGGAATGTCTTGCAGATCGACAGTACAAACAATAATATTTTGGTCGAATCTTTTTCGAGTGACAACAAAATGATCGGAGAGAGTTATACCAAAGATAATCAGACCTTCGAAATAGGAAGTTATGGGGAAGCTGAGAATAAACTGGGGATAAATTCAACGAACGAGGGATTATTGGCATCCTCAGAGCCTGAGTCATTTGGAAAAGACAAGTCTACATCTGCGCCACTTAATTTAGAGCAGAAAATCGTACGCGATGGCATTCAGAGTACAATCGCTGAATTGTCACATGTCAGTGATGAGGGGTCATCCTGCAATATTTTCACGATGAAGGACTTGATCAACGACAATAATGTCGATGTTATTCTGAATGAGAAAAGTAATGAGTCACCGTTGTTCGAGACTAGTCTCGAGTCCCTGACATTCACCAGTGAAACGAATAATTTATTACTGAGTAATGTGAGTGAACAGTCTGAGGCTGTGGAGCTTGCCATAGCCTCTGAAGAGGAAATCCCATCCCCTTGGATAGACGTGATGGCTCTCGCTGCTGAACCTGCCCTGAGGACGGAGTCCTGGGGAGAGATGAATGCTTTTCCCACAGCTGTTCATTCTTTAGTGGATCTCGTGGGGCCAGAGCCTTCTCCTCTGCAGATTGAAAGGCAGATTGAGGGGTCAACCATTCTAGCTACAACAGAACCCAATTCTATACCTCAAGAAACCATCAGCGATAACAAAGATAAGGAGCGAAATATTCTCCAGGAGATCACGGCTGATGCTGACATATGCAAATGCACAGATTGCAAGTGCGATCAGTCAAAGAGCTGTCACAATTGCACACCGGAACCAACTTGCTGTGATAGAAAAACCAATTCACTGAGCATTGTCAATGAAATAGTCTCGTGCTTGCAGAATCAATGTACAAATGATATTGCGAGTAATTGTGGCTCCTGTTGTCTCGTTATTTGCTTCAAGACACTGGAGCAACTTCAGAGAGTATTTAAAGAGAACTGCTGCAGCCGAGAGCCACAGAGTTCGTCGTGCTGCCGAGATAAATCCTCGAATTTTCATGATATCTATCACGACGAGGAATCCTGTAAATGACTCGTGTCAATGTTATTAATTTGGAGCTTTACTAGTCAATTTCATAAACTGAGTCTATCTTGCTATTCTCTTGCATTTACTGTAAATCTGGGAGAATACAACAATGCAATATTTAAATATATCTGGCGAAGTGTAAGGTGAGATAAGTCGAATGCAACATTTTTAAAATTATCGATTTATATTTTGTCCAAAATTCAGTGAGTAATTTTCCTCGACTTTCTGAGAAGTATCTCCGATTCTCATGGAGACAACGATAATTTCCATGAATTTTTTTCTGTTTTAAATAATTTAACAGAAGTGTAAAGTTCGACTGATTACACTTTACCTCTTCGCTATTGATTTAATTGCCTTTCGTGTGCGTGTGTTCGTATTTTTTTTTCAGCAGTTATGCAACTAATAATTCAAAATTCGCAATAAAAAACACAATAAACGATTGATCGATGCCCAAATCTCGAGTGTCCACGTATTCTTAATCGAATGGTGCAATATTATACCAATTACTGTGAAAATTTTTACTACTCTTTGTACTTTTAATGCTATTTGAATGTGACGTTAACAATATACCAAAAAGTATATATTTTTAGATGAATTGTTCGAGAGTTAACGATCAAATCAGAATGCATAATAATGAGAATACCGTATAATTGTTTGAATAAAAGCGTATTGATGCAATTGGTCTTCAGGCGTTTGTTTTATTCACGAATTAAAGGGCAATTGAGTAACAGACGATCTAATGTTCATTTCTAGAATTCCAACAGTTGTTTAGATTTAATCGATGCAATTTTATGAGGAAGCCTGCACGAGTGCCTCTGCCACTTCCACTGCGATGGCAGCTTCTGCCTTGTCTTTGTCCGATGATGCTGAGTTCAGCTGTTGCTGAGCTTTGCTCAGAATATCTCTCGCTGCTGAATTGTCCAGAGCGTCGATGGCATGTGCCTCTTCGGCCAAAATTTGAACACTAGAGTCGTCATTGATCGTTACTGTCCCTGACGAAACGAATACTTTTTTCGTCTCTCCACTCTCCTCGTACACTGTAACAACTCCTGGTTTTAAAACTGCCAGAGTTGGCACGTGCTTTGGCAGAATACCGAAAGCCCCCGAGAAAGAGGGCACATCGACCTGACGGATATTGGCTTTGTCGTAGAACACCTGGAGTTATAACCATAAATTAATTTCTTCTAGAAGGAATTCTTAACAATTTAAGATTGAAATTGGGGATTCGGATCAGTAATTAAATGGTGAAAATTAATCTTGGATGAAAGTACCTGATTTGCTCCAGCTAGTGTGAACTTCATCTCATTACCACTGGCTTCAGCATACGTTCTCACCTGGGATGTGACACATCTCATGGCTGGACGAAGTGATCGAACAAATGTCGCCATATTTATCTGCTTCCTGAAAATATATTCTACTGTTCATTCCCTTTCATCATTGCAAAATTGGGATTTGATCTCCCTATTACATCACAGATTACTCTACATAACCCTCACTAGGCGATAACTCGAGTAATTATCACTGAATGATTAACTCCAGTTACACATTATAACTGGAAAATACTCATTAATAGTTTCTGCTGTTTTAGTAATTGAAGGTCTGCGGGGACAATTAACTCACCGGTTTGCTGATGAAAATCCAGACGATTTCTTTCTGATGGCGATACAAAATCACACTGATCTGACAAATGAATGAAGAAATCTTTCCTATCGACTCGTCACCGAGAGCAGCTCCCTCTAGTTCTTAATTAATTTGAGCGCAAGGGGGGAAAGTGAATTTTTGAATTTTCAAACTGAATTTATTGATTTCCTTAATTTTTCCATCTAATTGTTAATTTTGCACTGGGTAGAAAAAAATAACGCCTCATAATTAATGTATATAATTACTGTTATTATTATTCAACATAAATATACATACAGTATAACATTTATCATTATTTCGATACCAAATGTAATATCTTTATTATTTGAAAAGCTATATATTAATTTGACTTTTTCTCCGCAGTGCAAGGCATGTTCCGGGATACCGAGACCAATGCAGAGAAATGATTGTCGTGGGCCAGAGATCGAGACCGAGGAGATACCAAGAGACAATAAGAGACAACATATTTACTCCTTAATCAGCCCTCGGCCCGATGACGTCCCATCTCCGAGCCAGCCCAGAATTCTATGTACAGTTTTACACACCCCATCCCTCACAATTCATCAAACGAAGTAGCAAAGCGCGTCGGCGTTTCAAAACCCCTCATTTCACGAGAAAACATCACATGACTTTTTTTGTCGGAAATTTAATCAGCTACAAAAAAGTCCTTTACCGTTTCTACCTAACACTCACAGCTCGCGAGATAAATCGATAATATCAAAAATATTACATCCGATTTTTCCCACTTTATCACTTCGCTCTGAATACCAGTCCTAATTATTGCATTATCTCGATAATTATTGTATTTGTGATAAAATATCAGAAGACCTTTTTCGTCGGAAATTTAATCAGCTACAAAAAAGTCCCCGAGCGTTTCTACCACAAATCGATAGTTTTCGAGAAAAATGGATGAAAGTTAAGTCCGACTGAGTCTTCCCCGTCGGCCCAGTCGTCTCATCCAACCTGGGCCGACGTTTCCCCATCCGCGTGGAGTCTGACGTGTTTATTGAGATTACTGGGATCACCGAAGGGCCTCAGGCACACTCTGCACTTGAGGGGTTTGTACCCAGTGTGCGTCCTTATGTGGATCTTCAGGCCGTACTTCCTGGAGTAGACCTTTCCGCAGTAGACGCAGAGGTGTCCCTGTTTGGACTTACCGATATTGCTGTAGAATGTCTCCATCTGGGCTGCATGAACGTCCGAGTGTAACGTCGGGGGTGGCAACTGTCGTGGATAAAGATTTACCTGGTGATTTGGCAGGTGAGGAGTGCGGCTTGTGTGGCTGCTACGACTAGATGGTCTGCTCATGTACGGCCTGAATGCAGAGTTACGTTGAGATATCGTACTGCGAACAGGTGAAACTTCCGTTGATGAACTGATCGGTGAGATCTGCGCCGAGGATGTCGGCGAAGGACCGTTCGAGGATGTCGGTGAGATATTCCTCGGGGAGGCACTTCTGTTCAGGGTTTCCACACGAATTGGTGATATTCTTGGAGTCGTCGCTCGGAGGGACTCCGTCAACTGGAACTTGAACGAACTTCCTACTGCCGGTGGAAAGAGATTTAGGGAGAGACTCGCGATTGGCGGCCGTGGCGATGCCAGTTCTTTTGCCAAACTCGCCCAGAGATCGTTGTGATCTAGTTTATTGCATTTTAACGCCAAGTGAATCTTCAAGGGGTTCGGGTACTCGAAGAGGTTGTTACAGATGTGACAAATGTATCGGTTTTCACCTGAAAGACAAACCGAAAGCACATGATTAGATTAAACTATTCCCCTTCGATTTTTAATTATTATTAAATTATTATTAAATCTAATACAACTTTCTGGAGACACTGAAAAATCGGAATCTTTATTTTATGATTAATCCCTCATTTTCGTTTTTTTTCATTTTCTGCAACTGAAATTCGATTGTAAAAAAATGAGAAAATTCGTCGAATAAAAATTTTAATTATCACTTTTTAATTATTATAACAATGAACTTATGGAATAGCTCACCTTGAATATTGAGATACGGTGTGAGAAAGGGCATATTCATCATGGCGAGAATATTCTCAGTGAACCACATGAGTAAGGGCTCCCCAGGCGAGATAACGCGGATCGTCTTCAGGACGACTCCCCTCTCGGTGCTCATTAATATAACATTGCAGCTTTGACAGTCTTTCGCCAAAGTGACAATCTTTATCCAACACGCGGAATTTACTAAACCATTTACACAATAAAGTCGTCCATTTGTATCGGCAACCTCGACCTGACATAGAAAAAAAGAAAAATCGGTTATTCCACTGTCCACCAGTACCTAATTAATTCCAAAAAAATTTGATAGACTTACGTATTGAATGACTGACGAGGGATTTTGTCCTAATTCATTGATATCGATGACTTCCGTGGAGGAGTCCCGATTGAGAAGTGTCGCAGCCCTGACCCCAGGTCTCACTGTCGATCTACTCGCCGATATAGACGTCCTCTCGAGTGCACGAATATTCATTATCAAATCGTGCTGTATCATAGGATACTGAACAGTACCGCGGATGTCAACGTCCATTAAAATCAATTTAATTAACTATAACTCCACGATATAATAATCAACTCTGATCGCCACCGATTCAACGACTGGCGTCACTTTCTTGGGAGTTTGATCAACGAAATATTAATCGCTGATGAGTGCTCAAGGATCAACGATGATGGTGACACAGTATCGAGGTGTCAACTGACTGCGACCTGTGCCCTGCACGTGGCTTAAATATTCCGCTTTGGGGTTGGACCACAACAACCCCAAGTGGTAGACATCAGGGCGGGGTATAGACGATGGACAATTTTCCTTTTTCACCCCACCCACTAGCAACTAGCCTATACCCTCTCTTTTTTCGGTACGCGTAATAGTATTTAAAGAGACCCCCCTCCCCGCCCCCCCATCCCCTTTAGGGCCCGTGTAACCCAGGGGGGCTGATGGCCTTTGGTTTAACATTACCCTCTCCACTTGCCGATTGTCAAAGAGATTTAGTTACCGTAGTGGGGACAGCCAAATGGAGAATAGGGGCACGTGCTGCAAGGTGCATCTCTCTGTCATGGCGAGACATATCCCCTGACTTCTTGGCGCCAGATTTGTGTTTATGGTCTTATTCTCTCGGACAAACCCACTTCCCCGAAATTTTATCAATTATTTATTCCTCAATCCTAATCCTCCGGTAGTGAGACTGTCTCATCTCCGTCGGCAGTCGATTTATTCTCATTAATTCTCATTAATTCTCATTAATTCTCATCCATTCCCTCGCCATTCCGATTCATCCGATTTTTCATTCACCATCGGCTCCCATGAACAATTATGACCATAAAAATAGTTGGAAGTGTTATTTGCACAGGTATACCTGTCAGGTTGTCAAGATCCCATTGTTCTCGGTATTTACATCATGGATTGTTACGGAAATGTGGAATATTGTCGTTTGGTGCCAGCCAGGAGAAACAAATATCGTTATTATTGGGAGCCATTGGTGGCAATCTCTGTTGCTCGATGGGGCTGTAAAAGCTTCATGTGAAAAGACATTGTTTGACTCAGCTGCAGACCAATGGGTGCCCCCTGCATATGGGGGAGAAAAAACTCCAAGGGGGATTCAGGCGCAAGACGACTAAAGGTGCGCTTGATTACTAAATTAAATGCTCCATTCTTCTCGCACCCTTCGATCGATAAAAAATCTGTTATCAGATGTATCAATTCACTCGTCAATCTGATAGCTCATCGACCCCAGCAGAATCCACGGATTTTACATATATTTATTATTTATTTATCTCCCCCTCTCCCTTGTTGCCAATCCCTGTCATGCAATACCGATAATTTATGTTGGAAAATATTGCAGCTCCATTTATTTATTTATCTCAATGGAATTGGGAATTAATCCCTTTATTAATTTATGTATTCCGATCGTTTTAGTTCTTCAGGATTTTTTAATAGTTGTCGGTTGCTCCCAATCTTAAATGATAATATTTTCATTTCATCGCAACCGATTTCTCTTTGGGAATCGATCCCTTCATCAATTTATATATCCCAATCGTTTTAGTGATCCAGGATTGTTGAATAGTTGTCGGTTGTCCTAAATCTGAAGTTATGTTTTAATTTCATCGCAACCGATTTTTCTTTGGGAATCGATCCCTCCATCAATTTATGTATCCCAATCGTTTTAATTATTCAGGATTTCTGAATAGTTGTCGGTTGTCCTAAATCTGAAATTATGTTTTTATTTCATCGTAACCGATTTTTCTTTGGGAATCGATCCCTCCATCAATTTATGTATCCCAATCGTTTTAGTTCTTCAGGATTTTTGAATAGTTGTCGGTTGCTCTCAATCTTAAATTTTATTTTAATTTCATCGCAACCGATTTTTCTTTGGGGATCGATCCCTTCATCAATTTTTGTATCCGAATCGTTTTAGTTCTTCAGGATTTTTGAATAGTTGTCGTTTGCCCTAAATCTGAAATTATATTTTTATTTCATCGCAACCGATTTTTCTTTGGGAATCGATCCCTCCATCAATTTATATACTCCAATCGTTTTAGTTCTCCAGGATTTTTGAATAGTTGTCGTTTGCCCTAAATCTGAAATTATATTTTTATTTCATCGCAACCGATTTTTCTTTGGTAACCGATCCCTTCATAAATTTATATATCGTTTTATTTTTTCCGGAATTTCGAATAGTTTCGATTGAAACAAATCCCCAAATCGAAATTATAATATTTCAATTCAATCGCAACCGATTAGTCTCTGAAAATCGATTTCCATGTCACCCAGAATTAGTACTATGTAAAAATTCGGTATTATTCCAAGAGAAAAAGGATGGACAGCTGTTTTGTAGTGGATCCTCTCGTGATTCATTGGGGGGTTCAACCAGGGAAGAGTACAAGTGTTCACAAGCCGCATGTACATAATACCTCCGTTCGTGAATCTCCACATCCACCGACGCAAGTGTTCCTCGCATTCGTCACTCCACCTCCACGGGTGCAATAACACCACCTATTTTCTCATTTGGTACGAACAAGTGTTCCTACCCCCATCACCAATTTTATCTCCATGCACCAGAAAACGAAGACAATCTCTCAACTCTACCCAAATTCCGTTTAAAAAAACAACAAATAATTTCCACTAAAAGAGAAATTTATCCGAAAGAACTACCGGCTTTTAAAAAAATAAAGACAATAATCGGAGAGAATTCGACACGAAATGTAATGCTTATTATTGAATTCTGATGTTTAGAGGATTCACGTGCGGTGCAGCTTGAGGCGCAGGTTCCCCCCATTTTATTCACCCCCTCGGTTTGCAACCAAAAATCAGGATGTATTCAGAGAACGTAGTAAACCACGTAGCCACAGGGTACCTAGCAAGTGTTCCGCCGTGACCAATTGAATCCTGGGTGGCACGAGTTGCACGCATGTGTGCGCTTCCCAATGCGATATTAATATCACGATTATCATCTACGTATTATCGTTTTTCTTTTCTTGGGGAAGGGGAGCCATACCCTCCCCCCTCCCTCCCCGTCATCCCCTTCCGCCCCTTTTGTTCAGTAAAAATGATTTAACATTAAATTTTATTATTTCAATATAAAAAAATCTGGATAATTGATAAATTCTTTAAAATTCATGGAATTGGAATTTTAACAAAAAAAATTATATTGTCAATAAATATATTGTTGAATAAATAATTAATATAATAATTGAAGACTTTGAATAATTAGTATTAATTAAATTAGTAATAATGACAGGTTTTTATTTAAATTTTAATATAAATATAATATGTATATAAAAATATATATAAGATATTATATTATAATATAAATATAATATAATATAATATGTATATAAAAATATATATAAGATATTATATTATAATATAAATATAATATAATATAATATGTATATAAAAATTATTTTATATTATTATTAACAATTCTTTTACGTTGTTGAATATTTTGAGTTTTGCTCTCATTTTTAATTATCATTCATTAATTTCTGATTGAAAAACAAATGATGGGGTTTCATCGAATGTTTCATTTTTGCAAATATCATTTTCTTCTTGCACGAAGAGAAAAATTCAGTGAAAATGATGGAATTACGAGGAAGATCGGTAATTTTTTTGAATACTACAGATGAGATGTGCCATTTGCCGATTTTTCCAGCGAGAAAAAAAATGGAATGGAGTTGGAAGAATCTAATGAAGCGAAATTAATAAAGGAATAATGGAATACAAGCTGACGGTGTCGTGGTGACACCAAGATGAATTCCATTGTTGAATTTACCCTCTTGCCATCAAAGAGATCGTCGACTGAGAAATAATGGTGTTTTTGTGGGAGGCATTGCATCCACTATAAAGAAAATTCGATTCGCTTCTGCAAGTGTCACAAGTATTGGATAGCTAGGGGGCACGATATTACGTCATTCAGGGAGTCTCATAAATTATTAATTTAATCCTTGAAAATTTACGTCCTCTCGGAAAAGTGCAATTGTTTACGGGCATCAGGACTAATTTCTAGTGCAACTTTTCAAGTGCATATCACAATAGTCACGTGGCATTCATTATCAGTGAACATATGCTTGAAATATGACACGTGATCGCAGCCCCTGGGGACTTCTCGAGTTAATATCCCATATAAACTAGAGTGATGTTATTTACCAATCGAATCCCCATCTAAATATCTCAATCGCTCTTTTAATCTCTGCACTTGTTTATAGTAATTAAAAAAAACCACCACAAATTAAATCCCATTTATTCCCCCAAATTTCCCAAAGATTAGAATTTTTTTTCATCTCATGACAATTTCGCTACCCTAAGTCAATCTTTCGAGGAAAAATTACTGACAAATAACTCTTCCAATTCACCCCTTCGAGGACTTAATAATTAATTCAATAATTAATTGAATAATTAAATAAATGGATGGATGAATTGTAAAAAAATTAATGATAATAATAAATGGTTATCTGAAGTGAATTATATATTTTGATATATATATTTTGATATATATATTTTGATATATATATTTTGATATTCGAATGGAAGAATCATGTGCGAACTAGGTGACACGGGTCCCATGACAAACCCATAGAAACCCCCAGCCCCCTCTTCCACGAGGAAGATCCCCCGAGTTATTTTTTACCCCGAAAAATAATGGGGTGCCCTAAAACACGACTCACTGGGCACACAAGTTTTTTACATACGCCAAATTGGGGTCCACTGCTGCTTAATTTAATCCAATACAATATGCCCTGACAAGAGAGAGATAAAAGTGCCTAGGGTAGGTGGCTTTTTAAAAGTGCCTGACCAACTTCAATTCACTGTGAAACCTCATCCTATTATATGATTTATCCAATACTGATTGCATTAGGCAGGTTTTCACGTGATGAATCATCTGATTTTTTTTTGGTTTTAATTTTCATCAACCCATCCTCTGAGCTCCTTGGAGGTACCAGCGGCGCCGACTACTTGAATTTTTCCTTGAACTTGGTGAATATCGTCTAGCATTACAATACTAGCACAACCAGGGCTGGACTGGAGAACAATGGGCATGGAGACACTACTGCTTTTCTGTGTACATAACAGGAGGGCTTATTATCCTAAGACTCCACTAATGGGACTTGATTGGTGCGACAGCCTGTCGCCAGAAATATCTATTCCCCATAAAATGGGGACGACTCTGCTTGTTGCCAAATTGAGGTACCAACACGAGTGTTGGTGCTATCTGCCAATTTTTCCCTTCTCCGCAGGTATTTTCTCTTATCCGCTGCCATCTTTTACTAAAAAATTTACAACCATGGAAAATAAACTCACCTTCCGGGTCGTATACTTCGATACGTCATTTTCTTTTGCTTCTAGAAATTATTTATGGATTGTTTCTTCTATTTATTTATATCAAATACTCAATTGATTTGTCATAATCACTTTATTCTTGAAATTACAGGAAAACAGAATAAATCCAGTGACTGGTTTTTCTCCAGCAGCTGCTGTCGGTCTGAACTCTGAATTATTATTCATGTTCCACAGTTGTAATATTCACTGGGTTCATTGTTTTTTTTTTTTTTATAAATTTATCACGGACTGCGCTAGGATATCTTCATAATGGATTGTGGTGGGTGCTGAATGTTGGAATATTGTCTCGATTTGGGATTTTTTGACTTTGTGAATGGGTTTTTCCCCGGAATAATCCAGAATCACTCAGGGAATGATAATTGATTTGTAATAGGTGGAGTCATGTTATGGGCCCCATGCTGCGATATTTACGCTACGGATTGAGGAACCCTGGAATCATCCTGGTGCTGGTAATGCTGGGGGGAGTATGGAAGGTACCCGGAGACAGAGGGTGAAGACAGAGATGGATTTGTTTTGCAGCTGTGTATACCGGTGTAATACGTATGGTAGGACATGAATCCACGGAGAGAAATATTCTATAAAAATTACGCAGCCGTCATTTTAAAGTGGAATATTAAAAAATATTTTTTTCAAATTGTTCCGAAATTTTCCAGAATTTTCGTCTGAGATCTCCTGTTAAAAACTCACAAAGAGAAATTTATAAACAAATTCAATTATTAAAATTAATAACATAGACGAATTACAATAATTTTGTCTCGATGTGACGTCATTTGTTAGTCAGATTTTCTGAAAATAAACTGAAAATTCGCGATGGAAATTATTACATTGTAATTATCAAATATAATTTTGTGTATAATTTTGTTAAATTGAAATAAAAAATAGACAGATTGAAGTTAGATTGGAAATTTCTTTTCGTGGAATGAAATTTTCGCTTTTGTAATCGATAAATAATTGAATTTCGTAATTACTATTGGATAATTCTCTCGGTGTAGTCAGTAGTAAAGTACGACTCGTAAAATAAAATAAAAGTTGAGGTTTTTCATTTCTTCGGAATCGTTGAATATAATTAATACCTCACTGAATTCCATCGGGTGATTGATACCGTTGAAAATCAATGTCTTTTCCACCCCCACTCTCTCCTATCTCAGTCTCAGAATCACAACGTGCCATCGTTAATTCTCTGGATGAGTCATACTCCTCACCGAGCTTCTTGTAGATCGTGGCCCGATTCTCAAGGATTTCCTTGATGATTTCTAGAAAAAGAGGCATTGTTCCAGAGAGATTAGTTGGATAAAAATAAGGTAGAAAATCCTAGCTAATTTAACCGCAGAAAACCTATTTTTTAAATATTACCCCCCGGGGAAATTCCCAGGCGCCGGATTTATTTCACTGCGTCACTTTCTCCACTCGTGCATTCCCATTCGTGACTCGAATTCCCATTTTTCCCAAATATATTTCACGCGAAAAATTTATTCCCGATTTATACCTTTCCGGTATAATTTTTTATTGAATACAATTAATTAAATTGCATTGATTTATAATTTACTGTAATGCATAAATGCATAAAATTGCTACAAATGGAGTTGATGGCGTTGATAACAATGATAACTTGATTTGCTCAGTGATTTTCACTGTTTTTGGGTCGGAATTGTTCTGGAGAGGGTATTTATGGTGAACGTGGAGAACGACGGGTATCCAAGATGGTACCACCGAGATATAGTTATTTACGATGGTGTAATAGAGAGTGATGAAATCGCTGGAAATGGACAAGTGAAATTTACTTGAGGGAGGTAATGTCGCGCCAGCGAGGCGACAGGGCTTGTTCTGCGGCAGATGCCAACGATGTACCTGAGCTTTGTACAAGGTATGAATGCCTTCGGAAAGCACTTAACCTGTAATTATTTTACTACTCCCGGTGGGGGTGCAAGTCCCTGCACAAATCCAACTAATGGGGAATATCATTAAGACGACGGGTTTGCGAGGCAATGTTATTACAGCCATTGTCTCGTTTATCCCCTTCGTCTTCTTTAACTCTGTTACTATCACTCAATCGTTAAATAACGAGGTGAGAGTAGCGAAAATCATTTCCAACAGTTTTTGTTAAAATTCAAAGAATTATTTCCGGTCTGTTTGAATTTTCAGTGCCTCTGAAAATTGGAAATCAAAATTACAAATATCTATCGAGTTTTCTGGATTTTTCGGGAATGCGTGGAAAACCCAGGACTCCACGAATTTATTAGAATATTCTTTGACTTTTTCGTAATTTCACCCGGAAGTTACATTGAATATCATTTACAGAAATTTCTAAGATATTTAATTAACTAAGATAAGATATTTCTAAGATAAAAAAAAATGAATTGGTCAATGGAATTTCAAGTGCTCCGGAGAATTTTTAATGAAAATTGAAAATAATTTTCACTATCATGTCTTCTGGGTTTTCCGTGAATTTGATAATTTTTTGAGTTACCCATGAGTATCTCGCGGCTCTCCATCACCGTTCCCACTTCCCTCTTAACTTCTGTCATCAACCAGGGTACGAAGCCCTCGTCGATGTCCTCCCTTATTTCATCCAGTAAATACCCAGACATTTTCAACTCCTCAAGAACAGCAGGAAGAAGCTCCGCAATGTATCCCGTCAGCAAAACAGCAGCGGCGACTCTTTCCTCGGTCTCTTGCTGCTCTTTCACTGCCTTCTCGTGCTGCCTCACCCTTCGATCCTGAAAAGGAGAATAATTTCGAAAATCATGAATACAAGATTTATCCCCGAGGATGTCTGATCATTACTTTTTCCTCTCGCAACCTGCGCTCCTCCTCTTCAAGTCTGTACTGTTCGGCCTTCTCCGCAGCCCTGAGCTCGAGGAATCTCCTCTGCTGCTCCCTCAGGGCAGTCTGTTCCTCCTCCTCAAGGACCTCGATCAACGCCTGCTCAATGGTTTTTCCCACGAGAACTTCGAGGATCGGTTGTACTTCAGAGTCGTAGTCGAAAAGCTGAAAATATCAAACCTAAAGATCCGCACGTAAATTTCTCCTGAAGTTCAATATGAATTCTTCTTACGTCACCAGGTGATATCTGCGTCTCAGCATCGAGTCCAATTTTTCCTGGGACATAAGGCGGTGTAACAGGTCTCTCTAAAAAATAATCTGTCTGCGTGCCGATTTCAGATTCATCTGGTTTCTCAAATAACTGAAATAAAAAATCAAATAAAACCCCAAAATAATCCAAAAAAATATAGATTAGAAATAGATACCTCCTCCAGGTACATCTCCGTCTGCACCGGCTCGTGCTTTCGTCCAGGTACAGGAGGTGGTGATTTAATCCTCAACATCATCGATCTCGCCTGTTGCTGTGGCCTTTTCCTCGGTTGTTTTCTTTTTCCCTGCAACTGCTCGCACTCCACCTGCAAAATCAATGAATTCCAAATGACTTTCTAGAATAACTTTTCCATTTTCGTAATACCAGACTAAAAATAGACTCACGGGTATTGGAGCTGCTAATGTACTGCCTCGTACAACTCGTCGATCAAACATAATGTTGCCAAAAGGAAGTTGATGATCGCTGCAATGCAGAAATTACATTAACAAATTCAGCACTTTGATGAGTTGTTTCCCCCGAAGGAGCTCAGCGAGGTCATCGTGTAGTGTGAATGAGGGTATGTCTTCCTGATCGTTGGTGAATATTTCATTTTGATTTATGCTAAACCCAGCGAATATCTGATCCGCTAAATACAGACATCGACAAACTTTTCGCTATCACGCCAGTCTCCAAATGTTTCCCCCAATTTATTCATGTATTTTTATTTATTTTGCAACATCGGGCAAGGTCACAGCTGCATGAGCGCAAGAAACTATATAAATTAAGCCAGCTCCGTTAAAAAACGAGGGAACTCAAGAAAACGGCAATATTAATTAGATAAAATATCTGTGACTGATTGATGGAAGAAGTTTTATCAATGACCTGGTGAATTTTTCTTTACCCCGGGCTAAATGGCATGGCAAGGGTGTCTTCGAGTGGTTGCAACATTTCTGGTATTAGTTCTTGAAAAAAATTCTGCTGGGAAATTGAATTATTTAAAAATTATTTATTATGTTCATCATTTTTCCCGATAATCGACTGCCAAAGCTAAAATAAATTGAATCAATAAAACGAAATAATAATTAATAGATTAATGATTTGTAATTAAATAATAAATAATAAATGTCGACCATAATAATGATTAATAATTAAATGAAATCAATCAAATCATAATTAATGATTGATAAATAATAAAATTTATGCTCATCCTCGAGTTCAGGAAAATTTGAATATCACGAGAAAAATTTGAATATCACGAGAAAAATTTGAATATCACGAGAAAAATTTGTCGACAATTTTTTCCTCGACTAGAATTTTCCCCAGGAAATTTTTCTCACCCGATGAATAACTTACTTCTCACCAGTAGTGGTACCTCTGCTATTGCAGAGTCTCTTAACTCGTTCCTCATTAGCCAGGGCAGTGGAAGTTCCAGTGGTGGAATTAACTAATTTAACGGTAAAGTCAACAGTGGCTTTCATAGCAGCCTGACACCTAGCATTATGCTTGTTATGACGTACTTCCGGTCGACGAGCCAAAGACACCAAAGGGCGAAACCTGGAGCGTGGCATGTCCTCGTGATCGTGATCAGCACCATCAAGCCACGTGCCATTCGTTGAAATTCCAAGAAGAGCTGCCACCTCGGGTGGTGGCATCAGGAATTCACCACTCCTTACGGTTGTTATAAACGGCTTCCTCGTGTTCACTGTCTGATTTCTATTCCTCATGCCGATTTTTCGGTGGAACTCCTGGTGATCCTGAACCCTCTCCAATTTAGCGTTTAAAATATCGGAGAAGTTCTCGGTGGACAGGCTCATGGCGGATTTCAAGGACTCGTCAAGCTTTTTACTCGTTCCGAGATTCTCCTGGCTCTTGCTCTGCGATCTCCTCTTCAGGGGATTCACCTGGTTATTTTGAAGGCTCGCCAGGACGAAGTGATCGGTGGATTTGCTGTGGCTCTTCTCCGAGAATAAACAATCCCGGCTGATCGTTCGGGGGTGTATGTCGTTCTTCTCGTGGTAGTCATCGTTCATCTGGTTGATGTGGAGGATCGGCAGAGTTGTTTGGAGATTCTCGCGATTGATGATCGTGAATGCCGGCAAGTGCTGGGTCTTGGAGCCGCAGTCGAATGCAGCGAGCGACGATATTCCCACCGGCATTATAATTATTTTTATTAACAAAATTGTTGTTTACCGTAAATACACATCGGTAATTTCCTTGCCCTCAATTCCTCAACCAGATTCTTTCCCCGAAATCGTTATTGTCCCAATTGTTTTTCTCAGGAAAATAGAAAATACGCTTGTTGCAAACAAATCGATTTTAATGCTAACGTCATACTGTGAACGACTTTTGCAGAGGTCTTCTAAATTATTGAACCCCTCACGATCGTCAGTGATCGAGACATTGAAAAAAATCACCGTTGAAAATTTATTGCAATTTTAGCAAATGGCAGTTTTCTTTTTTAGGATTCTTCATAATTAAAAAATGCAGAAAAAATTCGGATGGATGAGGGTACTGATGATTTTAATGATTACTGGGGATCGAGCAACACTCGCGACAGGCTATTCCACGTTCAACGAGCCACTGGACAGTGTCCGGCACCCTCGGCGCAATATCGGCTACAGACACCCCTCGGATTGCCAATATGTATATATTTTATATGGCTGGCCAACTCAATACCACTGACCGAACCCGTTCACCCGCGCATGTCTTTTCCCACCGTACAATGACCGCCGAGAAAAATTACAATTGAGATCCCGTAGAAATACCTCTTGGGTACCAACAATTTCCATTTTTAGTCACCCTCAACCTGAAGGATGTACTCTTCGGCAATTCTCAGAGAATCCTCGATTTCCGCATTGAAATATTTCATTATTCTAATCGAAAATCAAAATAGATTGATTTGACAATAAATAAAATAAAGTAAAATATATAATTAAAATCAAATAAAATAAAGTAAAGTAATGATTTAAAAAATTCGGGGTCATGCCGTTTTTGGATTTTGTTTGTCGATGTCTGTAAATTGGTATTAAAAATTAATGTAAATGTTAATATCGAATTATCAATGGATTGGTGGTATTAGGATTAATCAATCGCTCCTATAAATTATTGATGTCTTTTACGGAGAGAAATATTCCATAAAAATGACGGAACTAATTTAATATCTTTATACAGTTTAATTTATTATATTTATATATATATAATTATATCTTTTAGTTTTTTTTTATATATTTATTGTCGAAGTTACGTGGGAATCTCATAATTTTTCTCAGAGAATTCCGAAAAAAATAAAACGAAAAGCGAGAGAATTTCGTAACAGTTCCGTAAGATTTTCTCCGCTCCGGAATTACAGAAAACCCACGTAATTGTTATTGAATATTTCTCCCGGTGAGATCAGAATTGAATATCGCATTTTCAATCTGCAATCATAACAAAAAATTTCCATTACCCGGATTACTCAATACCTAATTAATCAAAATTTCACAATGACGTAAACATAAGATCCGATTGTATTTTTCAAAACGTGTAAAAATATGAGAAAAAAACGCTAAAAATTCCGATAAAATGCCGAGATTACATTCTACTCGTGAATATTTAAGAAATGTGTGTTACGAATTCGTTGCGTGGCACGCACATGATAATATTCTAATCGATTATGTATTTTAAGCGACATTGTATAATGCGCCGACCAGGAGCTATTCTGATTTAATCTTACGTTGGATTTCGATATTTCTTCTGAATATGTAGAATAGCCCGTGGACTTTTGACAAACGTAAACGTCTCTCTCTTCGTTGACGTCAACGATGGGATATTATACGGCTGCAATCCTCTGGTGCACATTTTGCACTCCTGACTGGCCCTCGACGCCATCCTGGCCCTTCCAAATTCGCACGTACTATCTCTTTCCACAAATTTTCCTATAATCCGAATGCTATTAAACATCCATCAGCAAGACTAATTAAATTCAATTACCAATTTTCCATGGAGACACGAGGATTACGAAAAGAACTGATTATTTGTTATGTTTATTGGAGAATGTCCTTGTTGCCCTAGCAACGTAATTTTCCTCTGTTCCATTCATATTATCGATAATCAATCAGTGAGTCTAGGTTTTCAGCTGGACCCTATCCATTCTCATCAGCAATCAGGTGACTTAAGACTGAAGATTTTCAAATCACTTTAGCCATCAAAAAATTAATTACTAAGTAGAATAAATGGAGATATGAACATCCATAATTGTGATTTCATCAATGTCCAGGATAATTCGATTTCGATATTTAAACGTCACCTGTCAGACCGCCTTTACAACTGGTGGAAGACTCAGTGGGTAAATATCCGGGAAGGAATTTTATTTTATTTTATTTTATTTTATTATTTTATTTATTAATTTAGGGAAGTATAGGGAGATAGAGACAATTACCT